CTTACTTACTTACTTACTTACTTACTTACTTACTTACTTACTTACTTACTTACTTACTTACTTACTTACTTACTTACTTACTTACTTACTTACTTACTATATGTAAAGCATGCTGTTTGTTATCGATCAGTCACACATGCCATGTTGACTGACTTAAGACTTTGTAATAAAAGTAAAGTATATATTATGATGGAGTTTTTATTTTAGGTTTTCCTTTCGTTGCACTTGTAATTTAACAACCAAAGAGTTTCGTTTTTTTTTTTTTTTATGTCTGGCAAATAAAAAAAATGGACACCACACAGAAGAACAGAGGACCTAAAACCCTTCAGATTTTCTGAGCAGACGTCTTTAAAGTCTTGGTGTTGTAATAATATAGTATATAGTAACACATATTTATATACACTATTCATATATATACTTTTATGACAGAAAATTATCATGTAATTTTTACTGTCGCCCAAGAAGGCTACTGATGAAAGCACATGAAAGCATGAGTTTTAGCGTAAATTTTGCACCAGAAGTTAGACAGCCCTGTCGACAGGGGGCGCTATTTATTTTACACTTCCTTCTAACTGACCTCTGCCTTCTTACCGTCATCCCGCGACACTGACGAGACTCACGTTTTCCTGCTGTGACCTCTCCGTCTCTCGTTATTCGAGTCTCTTAATATTAGTTTAAATGAAAGCCAGTGAAACTCGACGAGAAACGAGCTAAACTCCCTAACAACTTTACCGTGCACTGCAGCGACGTGTTAGCCGCACATTCAYCTAAGCTAACCGGACAACCAGGAGCGAGTTTAAGGGACGAGACATGGCTACAATCGAGGAGCTTTCCCCGTCTGCTTCGGGCCCGGTGTCTACACGACCCCTAGAAGACGAGATAGACGARGATGAAGAAGAAGACGTTAGTTTCGAGTTATTTGATGTTATGTTATCGTATTTTSTTCTTTACCTTTTTGTCCACGATCTATTTAATTTGACCGTACTGAAGCTAACTAGTTAGCTACCATCATGGCATTTTTGTAATCCCAAACTAAGCTAAGCAAACCACACACACACATATTTATTTATATTTTTAATTTATTCCCCCCCCCCAGTTTTACACACTGACTTTGCTGTAATAACAAATGCATGGTGGGTAGAATAGAAAACAATATTTTATTTGCAAAGAGAAGCCATTAACTGTCAACAGAGCAATCTTCCTGAATCTATTTATTGCTCTTCTGCTCTGTGTTAAAATCTTTACAATGACTTGCTGTTTGCTTTAACACCACCGTTTGATTTGATGTTATTAAACATTTTGTAATGTATGACATTTAATTGTTTTAAATAACAATATTACTCTGTATACTCCATTCACACGAATAAATAAGTTGATACTTTGTGTTCATCAGCTGGATGAGACCCTGGTGGAGAGGTTGTGGGGCCTGACAGAGATGTTTCCTGAGTCGGTGCGCTCCGCTGCTGAGGTTTCTGCTCAGTGCTCAGTGTCGATGCTKAAGAAGTTTTATAGGTGAGTATTTGCAGCTTTTTGTTCTCATCCTAAGGTGTGTGTTTAGTAAACCCACCAGAATGGTAAAAAAATGTACAAAAAAAAAACTTGTTGGGTCAAAACTGTTTTTACTGTCAAGTGGAGAATCATTGTGGTCCAGTCAGTTTTATCTTTCCTTTTAGGAATTTTGCAGAAAATAAGAAAAACATTCAGAATGAATGAGTTTAACAAGTACYTGTGACTGGTTTAATCACTGAAAAGAGAAGCAGAGTTAAACACAATCTAACAGCAAGAGCAGACTGGAAAGATTTTTTTTTTAAGATGTGTTTAAAGGGCCTATATTATGTGTTTCTCAGGCATATATTTAAATACTATACCAGAAAGTATCTTTGTCACCTTTAGCTGTTATTAAAATGCTGTTTTTATGCTTAAATAGAAAATAAACGTATCTTCTCATCACTTCCTCTTCTTAACGCCTTGAAATTGGCCTCTGTCTCTTTAAGAACCTCTGTCTGCTTCTGTTCTGTCCCGTTCGGTGGGGGTAGGTGGGTGGGTGGGGTGCGCGTGTGCTATGATGCAGTTTACTTGGCATCTGAAAATACATTTCCTCAAAGATATTTTTAATCTGAAAAGAGCTTTGAGCATATTGCATATTGCATATTGCATACAGCATATTGAGTGAGAACTAATGTTGAGAGCTCAGACGTTAGTTTTCACTTTCACTTTGTGTGGGGAGGGGGTGCGCTCTGCCATGAGGAAGTTCTGCTTAAAGACACGTCCCAGGGGCGTTTCCGGTCCCCACCTGTCGTTTTGCTCCTCAGCATGGCTTCCTAAAAACGTTGCAGGATTTCTCAAACATGCATGAATGAGTCAAAGCAAGGCTTTGGGCATGTTTTTTATGAGAGTGTAATATTATAACATGATGTAAAACTCAAAAAAGTTGATTTTACATGATTTTGCCCCTTTAAAATGTCCCAATGGGATCACACTGGACAGTTTCAGTTCTTGCTGCAGGGAATTTCAGGAAGATGGAGCAGAATAGGAGGTGGTCTTTTTTTCCATGTTCTGTGTGAACTGACGGGACAGAAGGAAATAAAATCTTAAGAGGCTATGATTGTACTGTCTTTGTGACATCTTGGAATATGTGTGTGTATATACACACACACATACATGTATGTATGTATGTAT